GGGGGGGCAGTCAGTGTGCACCTGAACTCCATTCATCTAGGGCGAGGCCATCTTAGTCTGATAGGTGTGCTCTCGGAAGCAGGAGTGTGGCTGGGGACAAAAGGGGACCAGACTAGGGGGATGGGACACAGCCACTGGGTTCCTGCATGGCTGGGTAGGGGACCCTGGGGGCAGGAGGGGATATGGGGCCTCACTGGAAGGAGGTACCCACTCCCCTCAGCACTGCAGGTGGGGGGCTACCCGGTTCCCAGATGGCCCCCTCCGCCACCCCTGGCTGCAGAGGGGTCCCGGAGGCCCTGGAATGCCACCGGGCTGGGCAGAGAACCCCTCCCAGGCCAGCGACAGCGGCTGGAAAAGCGAAGTCCCCATGGCTCCCGGAGCCGCGGGGGTGCCGTCGCACCGGAGGAGGGGAAGTCCCCGGAAAGGGCAGGGAACCCGCTGCTGCTCCCTGTTGCCGCTTGCCAGGAGATGCTGTTTCCACGGCAACCGGCCTGGGAGTCCCGTTGCTAAGGAGGTAGCTCAGCGGCCAGGCGTCCCCATGACAACTGCCCCCTGCGGCCAGGCGGCGGTGCTTCCTGGGGACCCCGTGGGGACAGCAGAGGCGGGCGTGGAGGGTCATGCTCCACAGCAACCCGGGTGGCTCCAGCCTGGCCTTTGGGGCTGGGGAAGCTTGCAGGCATGGGAGATGGGCTGCAGGGCCCGGACCACACCGGGAGGGGCTGGCCACACCGGTCATCATCATCTGCATTCGCTGATGCTTAGTAAGCACCTACTGTGTGCTGGGCCCTGGCTGCTTTGTTAGCTCATTTCAAGCTCCAAGAGCCCACGAGGAACTAACCCAGCCCCATCAGCTAGAGATGTCAGAGTCAGGATGCACACCCAGGTCCTTTCCCACTGGAGGCATCATAGCAAGGTTGGGTGGGGAGTTGGTAGGAGCTCCTGCCCTAGTGCGGGCCATACAGGGTGTGATGTCTGCAGAGAATTGAAAAATAGCAGTGAAAGTGACTGTCAGTTTCCTTTCTCTGATCACCAGCACGTGCAGCAGTTCAGACAGTGTCAGGGATAGAAAATTGCCCCCACAGGGCAGAAAGCTCTCCCACCCCCACCAGGGCGCCTGTGCTTCCACCCAAAGGGATACTGGCTGTTCTCATCCGGGAGCCCTTCCGCCCTAGTGGGACCAAACCTCACCTGGATTTTTAAAACAAAACTTTAAAACATTGAATAAAGTCCTTCCCTTGACTCCAGGTCTCTTCCAGGCTGCTGTTCCTCGCTCTCTCAACTAAACTTCCTGAGAGTTGTCCCAGTTGCCTGTCCTCATGGCCTCCTCGGAGCCGCTTCCTCCTCCCCTGGCATGGACCCACCTGGTCCTCATTGCCCCACGTTGGGAGGTTCAGGGGCTGCTTCCCAGGAGGTGTCCTGCTGTCTCTCCAAGTGTTTGGCCCTGCTCATTAGGCCTTCCTCAGCGTCCGGGTCCCCATTCTCTCGTGGTTTCCTTCATCTCTGCTCAGCCTCACCTTGAAGGGCTCCCCTTTCTCCAAAAGGTTAGTGCTGCTTGGGCCTCTGGCCTTGGCCTCCGTCTTCCCCCTCCAGACACAATTCCTGGGGGGAAGCTCAGCCCTGCCATGGCTTCCCCTGCCTGGAAGAAAAAGCCTCCCAGATGTCCTTTCTCAATTGGGGCCTCACGTCCCCTGAGCCTCAGCCTGGATTGCTGCAACAAAGGTTCCACATCCCCTTCCGACTCACCATGACCCTCTCACTCTTTCTTGGGTTTATAGCTTCTGATGCTCTACAGGCCGCGTCCTCCTCAACTCTCACCCCTTGCTGATTTTGCTGCTTCAACTTTATTTCTCTCAAGGGTGGGATATTTCCATCCTTGAAAAGAAAAAGATATATTATGTAAATAAGAGAAACAGCTGCCTGCCAGTCACTTAGTTTAAGAGGTGGAACATAAGGAGTACTTTGTTTTGTTTTATTTTTTTGAATCAAGGTCTTACTCTGTCATCCAGACTGGACTGCAGTGGCATGATCACAGCTCACTGCTGCCACGACCTCCTAGGCTCAGGCAATCCTTCCCTCTCAGCCTCCCGAGTAGCTGGAACTACAG